GAGATACTTCCGCCATGGGATCAAAACTTTCTTCTTCTTTTTAATTGGGCTTTTTGCTTTGAAAAAACAAACAAATAAATTGGGCTTTTCAGTATATATTGTAAATCAGTCGAAATATATACTCACTTGACTTTCATTTTTATTTTCAATTCATGTATATATATTTGAGAATTTGATATGAATTACTGATTGATAAAAAGCTTAGCTAATTTTATATCATACTTATTATAAGTTAACAAATAAAACATTTGGTTATGTATAAAATCGTATAAATATGCAAATAATCTTACCCCATAACCTCGTAAAATTTTGTATATTTTATAGGTGTTCCTCCGTTTTGCGGTAAGATTTCTTTTTGAACACCGATAAATAGATAATACAATTTATCTTCAATCTGCAATAACATTTTTTGTGTTAGCTATATCGTAATAATCATTTGCATGAGTACTATATAGTACGTAGAGAGATATTACCAATGAGTGAAGAGATAGAAGAATATTAGAAGCATCAAGAGGCAAAACTTCGTCTTCTGTTCTAAAGGTTAGCCAATGAATATCTTCCTTCGTACTCCAACACGTTCATTACCTCTAGTTTTGCACCAGTTGGGATTATTCCCCTCGAAGTTCCCACATGAAAATTGATTTCTACTGCATCCGACAAATGATTTTTTTTTTTTTGTATAACAAGTTTTATATTTGAATATCAGAAAGTTAAAAAGTGTTATTAGATATGAATGTACCTATATTGCTTTGGTTATCTTTGGCGAAACAAGCGCGACCGCGTCGAGAGTGTTACGAGTGATGTCGAGATTAGAAATTGATGGACTGGTACAAGCAACATAATTGTATGCATCACCAATCATAACAGTGTTTCTTGATATCTTTGTGTCTATAAAACAAACAAAACAAACAAAATTAACTCAGAATCGGAGTATGGATTATGTTGCTCATAAAATATGTTATTTCATGCTCACCAATCTCGGCAAGGATAGGTTTGAACTTCCTACGAAGAGTCTTAAAGAAAACAAAACAAACAACGTCAACTCCAAATTAACCATTGGAAAATAATTCAACCGAATAAATAAGTTTCACTATGGTTTATTACTGATTAACGGTTTGGTTTAACCCCACCCCAAACAACATTATACCAACTGGATCCGGGTTTGTATCTCCGGAAACCGAAACCGTAAAATCTCTTACGTCCGAAAGGAATTTGTCAACCATCGCCACTGGTGGTTCCTATTTATCGACACATAGAGATCATTTAAACCCTTGTAAGTATGATCCATGATTTATCATATCGAAGCCGAAATCAAATAAAAATCTTACTGAATTGGTATGTAGGATAGATAGAAAATTAGATTTTCAAACCCGGTACGTATCCAATAACCAATGAGATTCCTCGGACAACCGGATTCACTAGAACTTCATCATATGCCCAATTCACCTTTCAAAATCAATTAGCAAATTTTCATAGAGAATTCAAATTTAGTTTTATGTTTATAATGATACAAAAACCAAAACATAATGTTCTGTTTATAATTTACCTCTTCAAGTTTATTAGTAAGCGAATTTGTACCAATTAAACCACGAGCAGCACTTGTAATATGGATTGTATTAGAACCGATTTTGCTTTTAATCTGATTATAGTTAGAAACACTATAAGTTGTTAGTCGATATGTTTTTCTAACATTTAAAGATTAAGTCATACATTGGAAAATATATACCCGGTTATGGATCATGTCTACGTGAAATGGTAAAGCGACAAAGGCAATTACAAAATGTGGCCGGATTGGTTTGGATAAGGCCATTTCAAGAGCTTCATCCACGGCGAACTATGCACAAACGTTTTAAAAAGTTATATCCTCTAGTAT